AGAGAGAGAGAGAGAGAGAGAGAGAGAGAGAGAGAGAGAGAGAGAGAGAGAGAGAGAGAGAGAGTCAAATCTACCCCGACGGCAGCCCCCCACTTCCCTCCAACATTCCCCCTTCTCTCTCCTTCATTTTTTAGGAAGCGAAGCCGCAACAGGTACCCTTGTTCAACTTGGTGATGGCTCAGCTAGGCAGGTCGGGGGTATAGATGGATTTTGAAGGAGTTCACAGGGGTTTGCCTTGGGCTGGTTCTCAGTACTCCCATTAGTCAGGACTTTTTGTGAACTTGTGTTGCAATTCCTCGCTACAAATATTTTGTTGGGGACAGGCCTACCCTGACCAGGTTGCATGGGGGACCCCGAACAAGTCTATGGCACCCAGTGCAAACGAGTTTGGAAAGAAAAACCTCACTATTAATTTTAAAAACAGAAAAAAAAAAAGAAAACAAGAAGACAAGCTCACGGTTCTGGCTCCTTTTCATTCTGGCAGTCCGGTTCCTATTTTCACCGTCAAGTCAGAAAGAATTACGACAGTTACTTAATACTCACACATCCTCCTCGCCACTATGGTTGAGAGGCCCGAGTGGATGGGATTGATTACTTCCCTCAGGAAGGATGCACTACCCCTCACCCCTACCTTAGTTAGCCTCTCTGCTTTAAACTCTAGAGTTGAACCCTGCCCTGTCTCCACTATCCCCTGTTCGCCTGCTATTGTCCATCTAAGGAAGTCTAGTGCTGCTTGCTCCTCTCAGCTACTTGGCTGTGAGATTGCGCTCAAAACTGGAATTGCTAGGTAGACCCCTTACTGTCGGACCCATTAAAACCTTAAACCCTAGGGACTTTAACGTTTCACTTAAAGTGGAATCTAAGAAGAAAAAGGCTAGCTGACAGTCAATCGTCCGGCAACCGGAGCAACCAATGCTGTTCTTCGGCCCTCACGGAGGGAAATGTGCATGGGTCATTTGATGGATCACTTATGCTTGCTGGCAGAGAAGGAGCTGGACTGATGCTCCCTAAAATGGATTTTGACCCAGGCCCATAAGGTCCTGTTTTCCGCGGGGTGGGAAGGGGAGAAGGTTAACGTAAACGGTAACCATTGAATGCACTGGGGAATTTGTGGGATCTTATGGCAGGCATTGAAAGCACGATAAAGCTATGTAAAAAGTTGTCGGAGACATGCTGGCTTTAAAAATGATAACTACAAGCAAATCATCGAAATGTACGAATTCCAATCAGGCTCCTGTAATGTGGGATCGCTGCATCTTCTAGATCCCTGGAGAAATCATGGAGCAACAGCCTCCGTGTCCTCCTTTCGAGTTCTGGTGCTCATGCATGACCTGCAGCATGCCATCCCCGAAGAGTGTTGGAAGAACGTTTATAACTGCTGGGGCCCACGGATGATAATGCAACAACCTTTAGAGCTCAAGCTTGAGACTTTCATCTGTGGGCCCCAGCAGTTAGAAACTTTCTTCCAACAACCGATAGTCTTTGGGGATGGCATGCTGGCGGTGCCACACCATCAGATGCGACATGTGAACACCGGCGGTGAGGTGAGATGTTGATCGAAAGTTGTCAGAGAGACAGCAGCCAGAGGATGTCAGGTACAGAAGAGGTCTGGAAGGTGTGGGGATCAGAAGTTTGCAAGACACAAACAGATCATGAACATTCAACACCAAGAAATCAGGAAAACATTCATCAGAGATTATACGCGTAGGAGAAGGCATAAGATGTCAGAATGAACAGTGTCTGGAAGTTCTCAGGAACAGAGCGATCATAAGTCGTCAGAACGGCCGTTACTTGTGTCTCTGGAATAGGCATCCTGCCTTGAATGCAGGTGCCTTATCTGGAATTGCTTGAGAAGATTAGGCGCAACTCATAGTGTTGTGTACTGTTTCAGTGTTTCAATTATATGACAAGACAATCAGTGGGCAAGGGTTGCTACAGGTCATGCACGAGGACCGGAACCCGACAGGAGGACGTGGAGGCTGGTGCTCCATGCAGTGATCCCACGTGACAGTAGCCTGATTGGAATTCATACATTTCCATTGTTTGCTTATAGTTAGTGTTCCTTAAGCCAGCATGTCTCCGATAACTTTTTATGTAGCTTTATTGTGCTTGCAGTGCCTTCCATAAGATCCCACAGATTCCCCAGTGCATTCAATGGTTACCGTTTGTGCTAACCTTCTCTTCCCCCCCCCTCCCCAACCCACCCCACTGAAAACAGGACCTTATGGTCCTGGCTCAGTATCCATTTTAGGGAGCATCATTCCATGCAAGTCGTAAGGGATCCATCAAATCACCATTGCTCACTTCACTCCGATAGGGCCGAAGAACCCCTGAACAGCATGATCCGTAAGGTCTTTCTGTTCTTGTTGGATGCCACGTACATTCCACCTGATCAGATTCTATGTGCTTGATTACCATGTTGGGCTAAAAATAGTCCTTGTGGGATCAGACCTGGAAGGAAGGCGTCCGCTGTTTCTTCTTTAGGATCAAATTTCTGAAGCTGTCATGATTCCTGTGGTCGTATAGGAGCGGGAAGGATGTCAATATTGCCAAGTATCGTGTTGTGTTTACTCTGTGAGAGAAACAATGGGCTGTCATTGGACTTGTCTCTTGGATCAGTGTCCCCTGCTTGCCCGATTACCAAGTGGAGGTCTTTTGGTAAGCGTTTCCTCCGCGCTTCTCAATGCTCACTATAATTGCAGCTGGGTCTTCAGAAAGGTTGCGACACCCTTTCAGCCGTTGTCTAAGATTAGGTGTGCAGTCTAAACAATCTGTGGTCTCGGTGTCTAAGACACCATGGATGATCACCCTCAGCTCTTGTAAATGGGCTTCTAAACAATCTGCCACAGTTTCTCTTCTTTGGATTTAGGTTCGTGAGTTTTGTATGTGAAGATCTATCCCCATATTTGGATGAAGACTGTCCAGTAAGGGATTGGGTTGGGATGTTCTTCTGGAGGTTCCCCATTAGGCGTCGTCTTCTACCACTTTTTGGACTCGACTCCTTGTTTAACTTGAGTGGCGTAGCGTTTCAGGAAGTTGTTGTGGGGGAGATGATGTACGCCATGACAGTAGAGCTCGAATGATCTTCTTCAACTATTTTCAATTGTGTGTAAAATCTTGTCATCAGATCGGTGCAATCAGCCTGATGCATTCTTTAAATGGACTACACCTCGTGAGGTGTCTTTGTGTATTTGGACGAGGACTATCAGTGAAGGTTCTCTCTTGGGCGTCTTCTTCCACCACTTTTCCCATTCGACTCTTTGTTCATTACCCAAAATAGGGCTGACATGTAGGCGGGGATCAGGTCTTTGCAATCAGCCTGATGCTTCCTTTAGCTAGTCTACACCATGCGAGGTGTTTTTGTGTTAGAAGCTTGGCTATGCATTTTATCTGAAGGGTTTTTGTTTCTTGTGTAGGGTCTAGGATGCCCAGTCCGCGTCCCAATGGCTTGTGTGTGATGTGATGCCAAGCAATCTTTGGATGAAGTTCTGCTTGTTCGGGTCTCCTGACCAAATGTAAGCTCTAGCTCTCCTATTCAGCTTAGATATTGTCTTCTCCAGGATGGTCCATATGGATGCAATGTACCACATCATGGAGACGACAGACGTGCTAATTCACCAGGGCTCTCCCGAGGAGGGATATAAATGTCTGACTTCATTCTCCAAGCCCATTGTTTGAGTTGGGCAACACGTTCTGCAGCATCTGCGGGGATGGTCCATTGTTTGTTGTCAGGATCCCCAGGTATACGTAGTAGGTGTCTCAAGTTTCTCCCGAGTTATCTGACTTTCTGGTCCTTCGGGTGCTGGTAGTCTGTCCTCTGATAGCCACCAGCCGATTGTTTTTGACCAGTTAACTTTCATTTGTGATGCCATTCTGAAAGCTTCCATTGCTCTGGCAAGAGTTTGGAAGGAAGAACCTGAGACTCTGATCAACGTCGCGAGGTCATTGGCGCACATATGGTTGTCCGTGTTGTCAGGGAGTTCATGGATTGAGGGTTCCTTCCTAAGAAAGGACGCTATTGGCTCTATTACAAACAGGAATATCAGTGGTGCCGGGGCGTCCCCTTGCCGGACTAGTCTTGATATAAGGCAACTGTCTGACAGCACATGATTAACTTGAAGACAGCCTGTCACATCATTATATGAGCCCCTCACGCATTTCTGAAACTGGGGCCTACTCCTAATTTCTCCATGCTGGCATTTGAACCATCAGTGCTTTTCCCAGTTATTGCTACAGTGCCGCAATGGTTCATCATCAATGAATGTCTTTGCATGGGAGGCGCATACATCCCATATGTAAACACGCTGCACAGCGAAAAACTAGTGGTTTAAGAAGGCCCCATTAACGTTGCTTTTTCGGAGCCAAAGGATTGCTGCCTTCGGTCTGTTTTCTATTGTTTTCTTGGCTGTGTTATTCGAAGTCATTACATCATCCAGGATGTAGTGGTCTGGAATGAACCAACTTGGTCTATATGGAAGCATTTGCCAGTTAGGTTCAGGATCCTGAAGCCAAGGCATTGGGTAGGATTTTATACGGCAGAGTAAGTAAGGATATAGGTCTACGTTTTGGCGTACTTCTTGTTCCCCTTTTGTAGAGGAGAGTTACCGCATTTGTGCTATAAAGATCCTCAAGCCTAACGCTTTGGATGGGATTTGATAGGGCAGAGTAGGTAAGCAAATAAGTCGGTAAATTTTCCTTTGTCCCTTTTTTCGAGGAGGAGAGCTACCACATTTTCAGGAGCTTGCATAAACCACATCTACCCCATATGTGGTCACCTGCTCGGCCACAGCTCGGCGCCACAACTTGTGTGGGCTGAGGTCACTTCTGCAAGGAATATGAGCCATATGAAATGCAAAAACCAAATTGGATCATCTCATTGAAAGCCAGAAAGCCATGTGCTCGAACAGAAAGCAGAATGCACCAAGTTGACACCAAATAAGACCAAAGCAATGAACTCGAACGACAATGTCTGCCCTTATCTAGTTTTCCATCTGGCGCGAGTACCTGACAGTTCACTTTGAGGTTTCCCTGGAGGTCATCTCGGGGGTCCTGGATCAATTTGCCAGGAGAAGGGTGATGTTTTGAGGACAAGTGAGGAAAGAAAGGCAAACTAGAATGGCATCGTCACCAGTGGAAGTCACGTCTCACAGGATATGGTTCAGTGGATTAGTGACAAATCAGGCCAGACTGATGTTTCAAGATTTGTACAGGATGTTGCTAAAGTAACAGAATATCTTGGGTGTAGGTCAGATTGAGTGGGGATTAGTCATACAAGAAGAGAGATGGGTAGCAGGAAAGGCTCGAACTGGGATAGTCAGCTGGGGCCAAAATGGTACATATTGTGCATGAAGATAGTGCGTGTAAACGTTCAAACTATATGCGGGCATGTAGTTTGCAGACTGAGTTAACCATGCACATGAATAGCGGAGTACAGCCTGTTATTAGCTGTACATAAGATGTAATTCTGTTACGTTCTCTGTCTCTCCACACGACTGTGTGGTGGCACTGGTCTGACATTAGTGCCCTGATGAGACCAGTGCACATACTAGTCAAAATACCCAAAGGAGTCAAAGTACACATATCAGCGAGGCATGGATCATGCAATAAGCTCATACCACAGAAGGTTAATCGTATCCGAAGCGAACAAATTACCAATGGAACCGCAACGGATATGAAAACAAAGAGAATGAATCGGAACACAAACATGATAACGAAAGTGTCAATGTCCTCCAGTCTCCCGCCACTTCTCCCGTAATCCCCGCCTCACATCAACCCTGGCTATGGCAAGCTCTTCTCTCCACTCTCCAACTTAAGTCTACCATCCTGCTATGGTGCGCGCTGCCGGGCTATGGCAGGCGTCCACCTTTTTCCTCCTTGCTGCCACCGCAGCAGCTTCCTCCGCAGGTGCTGGCTGGCTGCGCTCTCCAGCAGTGTGGCCGCTCGGGCTCAATGCCCAAATGTGCCTCGCTGGGCGGCCTGCCTGCTTTTGTGCTGCTCGAGCCGTCTGCCTGCAGCATCGAACTTGTTCCAGTCGGAAGTTTGTAGGCCTGGGCCTACTGGGAGGACGTGCAGGATCCAGCCTCTGCAACTAACTGGTGGGCTGGCCTACTGGTTACTTACAGGGGCTGGCTGCTTGCAACTAAACCGCAGGGCCCCGTTTCTCAGGCCGGCCTTCACGTAGGGTTGGCGTTGAACTCCTCTGCCCGGCTTTACTTAGGGTGGGCAGGCTCACTTTTGTCACGGCTGAGGGCCCCAAGCCTTGTTTATCATCAGTATTTAGTGATGGAAGGTTTAGGGCCAACAGAAAATAGTTCTGGCAGTAAGAATACACAGGTAGAGTTTTTTTAGCCCACAGGCAAATGAGATTTTGTTATTAGACCAGAAGACACTGCCTGGGTGTGCTAAGTACACTATT